AGGAGTGAGACAGGGGTGCATAATTTCATCACTGATATTCAATCTGTACTCGGAGCACATTTTTGAAGAGGCCCTAAAAGATATTGATGAAGGCATCACAATAAATGGAGTCAAGCTTAATAACCTGCGGTATGCAGATGATACAAAAGTGTTTTCCAATACCATAGAAGGGCTGCAAAACTTACTGAATAAAATTACAGAAACAAGTAGTACCTATGGACTGGATATAAACACCAGCAAAACCAAGCTAATGATCATCAGCAAGCAAAACATAACTGGAGCAAATATGTATGTGAATCAAATGTGAATTGAACGTGTCTTACAATACAATTACTTGGGAACTATAATCAATGAGTCGTGGGACAATACCCAAGAGATTAAATGTCGCATCGGAAAGGCCAAAAGTGCATTCTTGGCTATGAGCTCTGTGTTCAAAAGCCATGACCTCACCCTGAAAACAAAAATAAGGCTCCTTAAATGTTACTTGTACTCAGTGCTTCTGTATGAAGTAGAAACGTGGACATTGAAGGCGAAAACTCTATCAAAACTTCAGGCGTTTGAATGAGATACCATGGACAGACAAAGTCACCAATGAAGAAGTACTGCAGAGGATGAACACAACGGCGGATTTGGTCAACATCATGAAGAGCCGTAAGCTGGAGTACTTGGGACATATAATGAGAAATCAAGGCAGATACGAGCTACTCCAATGCATTTTGCAGGGTTAAATTGGAGGAAAAAGAGCCCCAGGACGAAGAAGAATATCCTGGCTTGCTAACCTGAGAGCATGGTATAGAAAGACCTCAACACAGCTATTTCGTATAGCAACCAACAAAATCATCATAGCCAGAATGATCGCCAACGTTCGGAACGGACAGGCACCCTAAGAAGAAGAAGAGATACACATTAAGCTTCTACTAGAGATTCTAGATTGTACATTTAAAAAATATCGTTAAGCTTCGTAAATCTTTCCACACTATGTGATGAAAGATATTTTATGTATGTTCTACTTTAAAGTTCAATCCAGCATGTTTAGGCTTATAAGAAGTTCTATTATCCCTGGTCAGGTTCTACTAATACTTCTCTATAGATTATAGTCTCACAAGTTAACCTGTGAGTTCAGTCTTATAAAGCTCTCAGGCGATGGTCTCTAATAAACACCATACGCTTATATGCTTGTACAACAATTGCAATTTTGGGACGTTCTCCACTATGTAACTTTTTTCTACATTGCAGAATGCCCCTGTGGGGTCAAAGGAATATTACCTCCTTCATTAGCAAAACTATCAGCAATCTCATTACCAATAATTCCTTTATAGCCTGGCACCTATAACGAAATTACTTTATTGTTCTTCACCAGTTGCGTAAGCGACTGTCTGCAGTTCCAAGTTATTAAGGACTTATTAGTAAGTTTTAGACTTTAAAGGCTTTAGCGTAGTCAGTCATTAGAGGCAATAAACATTTTGGTCGAAACTTGGAATCAATTCGATTTGATTCCAGTATCTTTAATGCCGTCTGGCTATGGAATATAATTTTTATAGGTCTGTCCCTGCAGTTCCTCTTTATTAGAGTTCCTGCAGGCACATGTTTATAGTATTAATTTCTGATTGGAAGATAGTATAGTGATTAACTGGGCTTTCACTAAGGCTTGGTTACCCTCTGTATACTCCAGTTCCAACTCCTTTATTGGTTTTAGAGCCGTATGTAGGTATGCCAGCATTAATCTGTTAAGATTCGTTTTATTCTACTCCCATTGGTCCATTCCTGAAAAGAAATCGTTCTTAAACCGTTTCTAGAGTGGAAGTCGAAACGTCAAACATTAGTTAGTTAAAAATGTGATTTTAATTATAACCAATAATTGTGTATTAATTCCATATACTTAAACATAATACTTAAATTAGACATTCCACAAGAAATTAATTTCAGAATATTGAATTTATTATTAGAGGAAAGGCACCAAATTTGAGACACTTTTTTTGAAAAACAAATATAAAACAGAATATTTAAAATTTTTAAAACATTCATTTCGAAAACTTAAACTTAATGTTTCTAGAACACAACAAAATAAAAAAAAAGCGAATAAAACATATATTTTTGCAAAAAAATACATTTAATTTTTTTGCGACATTTAATATTAAAAATAAAAGGTGCCCTAATTTGGGATAGTCAGGTATCTAAACTTGAGACAGGTACCTTAATTTGAGATACTATTCAAAAAAGCCCTTTCCTTCGCAGAAAAGGCAAATAAATGTGCTGGACTTTATTTCTCCACAGTCTTCATGTGCCCACCTGCCACATTGGTAACACTTTGCCCATCGTTCGCCATATCTATCGTCGGAAAATTTGCCGGTGCAAAATAAACATTCCGCGTCGTTTTCTTCACTTTCGTTGGACGATGAATCAGCTAATGGAAAGTTTTCACTGCTATCTGAGCTTGAACTCGAAGAAACTTTCCGCTTCCTTCTTGATGTTTTGCCTTTTGATGTAGAAGGTTGATCTACGTCTTCATCTGCTATTTCTTCTTCGGGCATTGCTGTTTTTTTTGATCTAACACCTTTTGTTGAACTGTTTTTTTCTGGAGCAAATACACAATCCAAGTTTAGCTGGGGTACTAGTTTTTTTGCTTTTTTCTTCTGCAAACTTTGCTCTAATTCTTCTTTGTAGGGTGTTAAAGTAATTATTGAAGCCTTTCCTGATCTGGCATGTGGTTTTTTAGTTGTATCTTTCTCGTAGAATCTAGGAATTGGACAGATGTCTTTCGGAGAAACAAGTTGTTGATGAGGTAGTGGTGGACTAGGAGTTCTATGTTCTTGTATTGGATGATTTGCTTGTTCATGGTTTATTTCTATTATTTGTTCATCCTTTTCGTTTTGTGTTTCTAAGTGCTCTTGAATTCCAAATTCAAAGTCCCTAAAAATATGGCGACAAATAGGGACCAGTCCAGTTTTGCGGAAACCATTGCAAGATATTTCCATCGTCGCAGCTTTGTTATACGCTTTACAAAAAATACTGGCAACGGCGTAAGGCGACACAACACTCAACTGATTTTCTCTAAGCCAGTTTTCTATTGCTTGTGCATAGTAAGTTTTCAGCGGTGCCATAAAAGCAACATCCAACGGTTGCATTTTATGTGTAGAATGTGGTGGGAGGCAAATAATCGTCACATGATTCTGTTTGGCCAAATCTATTAGAGCAACGTTTCTCGTATGAGAATAGTGACCATCAAGGACGAGAAGAACAGGGTCTGCAGCTGAAGGTTTAGTGAATTTTATGAAGTGTTGAAGCCATCTAGTGAAAATATCGGCCTGTACCCAACCTGACACATGGCATTCTGCGATTGCTCCAATGGGAGCTCCTAGCATCAACTCTGATTTCATATTTTTTCTGGGGAAGATTAATAATGGTGGTACGAAAACTCCTGCAGCATTCATACATGTAATAGCAGTAATCAGCTTGCCCCTTTCTGCTGAAGTAAGTGACGAAACCTGCTTCTTCCCTCTCATGGAAATTACTTTACTATGTTTGTGCTGAACAATTGTAAGGCCCGTTTCGTCTACATTGAATATACGTTGTGCAGGGTTAGTAAGCTTAAGATATTCTGGTTCATACAGGTCAAAGAACTTGGATACATTTTCAGGAGTAAAAGATTTTACTCGTGCACATGACATTCCCTGAGGAGTACGCATTGAAAGCGCCGGATGTCTTTTCAGAAAGAGCCTTAACCATTTCTTTCCGGCTGTTTTTTTGACTCCGCTAAATGGATGTGCTATTGAGTTTCGTATTGCAAGTTGAAATGCCAGTCGTTTTATATCACGCGCTCTTAGTCCGAAATAACGTTGCTCCATAATTAGGGCATACTCAACCAACTCATTTTCTAATTCCAAAGGAAGAATAGGTCGGCGCCCAATTGATATCCCGACAAGTTCTTCTGGAGTCTTGTCTGATTTCACATATCGTTCTAAGGTACCTTTTGGTACTCCAAAAACTTTTGAGGCCTTCAAATAGCCCATCTCTCTATTTCTTACTGTATTTACAGCACGTATCATATTATCTGCGTTCCATTTTTTATTTTTTGGCGGCATCTACAAACAACAAAACACATAAAAATAAAAAATTTACAAGGGGTCCTAATTTGAGACACTCTCAAATTTGGAACCTACAGGTATCTCAAATTAGGATTTTTCCGTTAAAAATAAAACGCATATTTTTTGGTTATGTATGACACACAATTATCGTTTAATTTGCATAAAATGTATTAACTAATATTAAACTAACAAAAAAAATAATTGGAGTAAATGTAATCATCTTACCTTGATGTATTGTAAGTTTTTAAAAATTCCGAAAAAAATTTGTGTAATGTGTAAATCAAATTACCGTCGACAAAACAACAAAGGTCACTTCTAAGCGTCAACTAAAAGCAGATCTACCATTACTTCACAGAATGATCAGTTTTTAATATTTTAACTAGATGTCACACTATCGTACACAAATATACGACGGTGTCTCAAATTAGGCGCCTGTCTCAAATTCGGTGCCTTTCCCCTACGAAAATTTCAAAGACATCAATGAAAAGTTTTAAGATAAGTGAATACGCATTTAAAACAAATTATAATGATAGTGCAATTATGGTATTTTTAGTTTTGATTTAAATAAGAAACAACGCAAGGTAAGTTTTGAAACAAAATACCTTTGTAACTTATTCTTATTGGGCTTATTTATAGGTAATTCTTAGGTGGATTGTAATAGCAAGTTATCTAAGAACAAATAACACTGCTTGCAAGTTACTATCATAAAGAGCTTCAAAAATGTTCTTTCTATTCCCAAGTTTTGAATCGGGCCTTACGAAAAAATGTATGCACCACCTATGGCAAATTGATTTCACTCGGCAGAAATAGCTGAGAGCCGTATCTGCTCAGACCAACGTTCTTCTACTTCGTTCGGACAACCTTTGTTCTTTTATTACCATCTATCTCCCTTTTTATCACTGTCAGTGTCATTCAGTTTTCACTTAGACATTGTTTCTTGTGTTTTATTTGTTGTGCTCACAGTATTACCATTTATATGTTCACTAAAATGATGGAATTTGTCAGAAAGTAAACAAAGCACTATTTAGAAAACAATTAATTTTAGGTAATATTTGCTATATTAAAAGCTATAACATTCCAAGACTTAAATTTAATAAGCAAGATGAGTACATAATAATATGCTTTCTAAAAAATATTTTTATGATGTTTCAGACACATGGAAGGATTTGATGCAATATATTATGAGGAAGAGTTAGAGAACAATGATGAAAATGCCCCATCATTGGTTCCTGATCCTGTTGTTATACGAGGTGCAGGCAATATGACTGTGTAAGTAATATTTTTAATTACTTGTTAAATATTCCAAACTGTTTAGTTATTATTTTCCAAAGTGTTTCTATGATTATTGGGTATTTATTATTAACTTTTGTTAGGCACAACTAATTCATCTAAAGAATAATAAGAAAATATTTTTCTAGGTTCCCTAAAATAGGGAATGAGGTAGGTATGTTTGTTAACTAGCATTTAAATTAATAATCAGAGCTATTCAATAGTTTTTATATGGCTGTAATATTCTTGACATCAAGTGTATTCAGCATTTGTGGCAAAATTTAAACATTTCATTTAAAATTTAACTACAACTGAGAAAAACCTGAACTAATTCATCACTTTCTCTCTTGTCATCTAGTTCTCACCGGGAACATCTAATACTATTTTTATTACTGTTGTATAAAGTGTTGAGATAAGGCAACATTTAGTAAATTTATGCAGATATTTGTAAATATAAAATTAAAAAGAAATATTTAGTACCTACCTTATAGTAATGAAAGATGCATAAGTGCAGACTATTTTTATTAAAAGCTTCTCAAAAGCCTAAAGATAAAGTAGAACAGGTTGCAAGACACTTAGAAAATAATTTTGTTCCATATAAGATTCTACAAAATGATACTGCATGGGTCATACCATTGCAAGAGAATATGCAGATTCGGCTAGATCTAAATAGTAATATTAGAAAATAATACCAAATTAATAAAAATTAATCACAAAGAAAAACAGATGATATCCTAAAAATATGGAAAGATTACTTGTAAATAAATTTTGTGAAAAAATACTAAACTTACCACACACAATAACTGAAGAAAGAAGGGGGAAAGAGACAAGTGGCTGGGAGAAGACAAAAAAGAATCTGGTGGAATTATATATGGTGAATGACAATAGACAAGAATGGTAATATTTTCTTGGAATTGATAAAACTTTTTTTGGAGTTTTTGAAACAGTTTTATCATCAGTGCCAAGTATAGACCATTTACTCTATTTGGGTGACTTTAATGTTTATCTGTTAAATACCAATTCTTACTCCACACAGTTCATATCTATTAGATGGCCTTGGACTAGAGCAGATAATAAAACAAACAACTAGAATCACCCAGTTCACATCAACTTTACTTTAATATATGTAATCACATCTACTGAAGGTAAAATTTTGTTTATTTAAGTAAAACATATCCCAGAAATAAGTCATCATGAAATGGTTGTTTTAAAATTTGGTTGGGATGTCAAAACTAATACAAATAAATTTATTACTACTAGGAATTTCAAAAGCTTAAATTACAGTCAGTTTAAATCAGATCTGGTATTTATACCATGGAGAATAATATATAAATTGCCATATATAGACAGTAAAGTTGATTTTCTCTCTGATATATCATTACTTTACTTGATATTCATGTTCTATATTAGACTTTCAGAATCTCAAAGAAGTATGCTCCATGGCTAACTAAAACCATCAGGCAATTAATATTAGATAGGTTTAACACCATCAGGTCCAGGAGTAATCTTATTTGGAAGAGAACATGCAATCAAAAATATCAATGAGAGTGATTTCAGAGACATTATAATTTGTGTCAACATTGTTATTGATGTGGATATTGGAAATCTGAAGGTTATTAGCCCCAGAGTTATAGACAGTTTGAATGAAGTTCTTAAATAAATTAGCAATTTCTTACCCATTAGAAGCAGACTGATTACAAAACTACAAGTTTTAGCAACAGTGACTAAAAAAACAAGATATACAGTAATGTTTTTTATAATTAGAGCACTTCAGTGAATTTTGTGGGGTTTTTCTTCAGGCCTCCTTGGAACTCGATTGTTCAGAGATCTTCGCATAACAAATAAATTTAGTAATTGACATATTGTCATTGGCTATTTCTTGATGAGCAATATAAGCATTTACAAGACATGTTCCCGTTAGGAGTTCCAACACCAGTTTTCTGTACCATTTTAAGCTTCGCCTTAAGGAAGCATTATAGGCTTTCACTTGATCGGATAGATCAATAAATGCCTTACATTTATTATAAACTATTTTTGGCTTTAAAATGTCTTGTCCTCTTTTCTTCACTGGAACCATCTCAGCTGTTTGCTAGTACTTAGAAACAGAACATCGCGTTTATCACGCCATTTTTGTACCTCAATTCCTTTCTTACATTCAGCAGCAACCGTTTCATCCTTTTTAAGTTTTTTTTTAATAGCATCTTTTGGGTTGAATTTTCGGTTTACATATAATGTTCCTACAAGATGGGTATTTCTCTTTAATAATTCAGTTGCTAACATGCAAGAGGTATACCAATAATTATCTGTGTAAAGTGTGCATCCTTTGCCTAAGAGATTGTCCATTAGATCCATGACAATTTTGGATGGAACTGACATTTGCTCGTTTTTGGATTTACCACAATATATACTAAAGTTATAGGTATAACCCTTTTCAAGACATAACTTGAACAACTTAATGCCAAACTTATGGCTTTGTTTTTGATATACTGTAAAAACTTTAGCCGTCCTATATTTTCTGAACGTACAATCGAGCCCTGAAATGTATTTCTTAATTTTTTTAATAGGGGCGTCATTTTTTGTAACCTGTCGTCTGACAAAATTGCATTATTGCTGAAATGGAGCATCTTGAGTAAAAGTTGAAACCTGTTGCGAGCCATAACTTTGTATATATTATGTCTCGAGACTAATAGCTTCTCACTTCAGGAAATGAACATAAACCCATCCAAAGAATAATTCCGAATAGTTTCTGAAAAAAAATATTTTTGCCTATTACCATTAAGTTTATGATATCCTGATTTACAAACAATTTGTAAAAATCGTATGGAGTTTTATTGTACTTAGTTTCATACAATTCCGCTCGAAATCCAGTATTATTTTCGTTTGCCACAAAATCAAATTTCTTCAGGGAATTTCCACTGACAGACATATGTAGCATTAGTAAATTGTTGGTCCTCTTCTTCGTGACTTGATGAGAAAACCTGCATTTGTTGAATAACAGCCTTCAATGGTATCTGCTATATTGTGTTGTGGTTTATTGACTGGTTAGATAATTTCACTAGATCTCGATGCACCTAAGTTCACTTCGTGTAAATTGGCAGTGCGTTTTGCGTTTACACTTCGTGCAAATATGTGGCAGAGCCACATATTTTTGTTAAAACTTTCGTCTTCTTGCATGGCTGATATTCTGATGAATCACAGTCAGACTCGTTCTCTGATTCGAGTTCAAATTCATCTGATGTTCGTCGGGTTCAAAATCGTTCACATCCTCTTCGTCGGAAAAACATTCTTGCAATAACTTTTCTAAATGTTGCTGTTCTTTCTCAAAAATAGACATCTTTACTCACCAAAAGTTCAATAACTGAACCGATCCGATATTGTAAACAACGTTTGCGCCGTGACGTAAACCTTTGAGACTCGAAATCTGTGAATATATTACATCAGCATGGTGTGGTGGCAAATTGGTCTCATATGGCCCGAAAGCAAAAAAGAGGCCGCTTGAGACCCAATGTGTCACCTTTTTTTTTTTTGTTAAATTGCAGGTTTTTTATTTTTTTTTTTATTTTTAATAGCACAAAAAGTTATTTATGGTTATTTTCATTTAAAAATTGAGAAAAAAAGAGTTGGCTCCATGGACAGATTTTTTTGTCCATAGTGGTACTCAATGTGCTAGAACGCTTATCATTAACATATTATCAAATTGATTTAGGATTGTATTTCAACTGAGCATTGATACCTGTAACATATTGATTAAAGCATACACCAGACAAATGTTTGAATTTTGACCTAAGAAGAGAAAATTGACTATAATTGCCATAGTTACAATATTTCGTGTACAATGAGTGAGCATAACTTTTCTTACATGTCAAAATTCTAAGTTTACGGGAAAATCATTTAGGAAAAGTTGATGTTCTGTATATCTCCTCAGAGATATAAAGTAGAAAATTAACAGTGAAAGAATGTCATAGAACATATTAGTTGAAACATAAATATCATTGTGAGCCAAACAATTCTGCCAATTAATAGAGCTGAAAAATTTATTATTAAGTTCAGTGTAATTGAGATTTTTAAACACCATTCATATGCTATATGATCTAGATTTAAGTTCAGTAGAATATCTCTCACTTTTACAACATTCAGTTACTATATTGCTAGAAAAACCAAATCCTAAAATACATTTCTCTCATTTGATATAGAATTATAATTAGAAGAATTAGAATTGTATTAGAATTACATTGATGTACACATATTCTATGAAAATAACTTTAATAAGTATTCCCTGAGTTCCTTTCTTTCCTTTAAATCAGTATCTGAAATTAATTTTTTACTTATAATTAATAATATATAAAGTAGAGCTATTGCCGATAATGATATTAACACTACAACTGTGTATTCCATTTCTGCTACCTTATATCACAAATGTCAGAGATCAGCAAGTGTACTGTCTACATTATCTAAAATTTTGGAAAAGGTAATCGATATTCTGTATGAATGCATTTAAAAAATAACAACTTACTTCCTATGATGCAGTCCAGTTGTAGGTTCAGCTGTCTTTCTGCTTTAATAAATATTACCGATGATATTGTTAGAGCCTATGACCAAAATAAAATATCAATTCTAATTCTTCTAGACTTCTCAAAGCTCTTAATACAGTTAACCACAATGTGTTATTCTCTATTTTAAAATATATTGGTCTAGAAACGGGAGCAACTGATCTAATGAAATTTTATCTTTCTAAAAGAGGTCAAGCAGTAAAACTTAATCAAAATATTTCTTCATTTCTAGATCTTCATACTGGTGTGAGACAAGCATCTATATTTTTCCAATTTTATTCTCTATATAATACACATCCAATTTTCCTCTCTGTGTTTTCTCACAGCATTAGTACATAGATGATACCCTACTCTATATATCATTTTATCCAGTATGAGTGTAATCAAGAGGTGAATGCAATAAATCATGATCTTCTTGATCTGCAGATTTTTTCTCAAAATCATTGTTTAAAATTGAATACATCCAAAACACAGGCTATCATATTTGGGAGTTATCACCTTAGGGAAATTTTTTTAGAGTATTATGTAAATCAAATTAGAAGGAAATGATAATTCAATTTTTAGCAAAAAGATTAAAAGCCTACGCGTTTGGTTCAACGAAGATTTAAGGTTTACATATGACGTAAGTATTTGTTTACAAAGAGTATATGCTGTATTAAAATTATTGTATCAAAGCCATAATTTATTTAATAGGGCCAAGCCAAGTCATTATTATATAATGCTCTGGTTTTATTAAAATTAGATTATTGTAAAGTGCTTGACAATGTATGTCTTACTAAATTTGATTCATGGAGAATACAGAAATTTTAAAATTCTTGTTTTCATTTGATTTTTGGCATCAGGAAATTTTAATAGATGTCATGTCTTCACTGTAGTCAAACGGCTAAATATGAAAAATCGTCGAAAACTACATGCTTTATGTTTTTACCATAACATCATCTAAGAGAGAGTTCCACCATATCTGTACAATTGAATAACTTAGAGGTCGGACGTTCAAAATCTTAATCTTGGACACAAGAAGAATATCCTCACTTTACCTAAACATCTAGGGCTAATGTGGGTAATTGGAAACAATATTTGAAATTTAATGCCGTCTTAACATTTGAAATTTATTTAAAAATATACTGTGTCATATTAGAATCAAATAAAAGCTCATGAATATTATATGAAAAGTCTACAGTAGAATGTCTTAAAACTAGTAAGAAAAAGTCACAAAAAGAAGATATTCAAAGTTTCCATTTACCCCTGAAAGTTTAAGAAAAAAAAGGGGTAAAAGTAAAAAACGATCTCGACGAGACTGGAATTAAGGGATGCATGCTTTGTAATCTACAAATCGTGCAAGTTGGTTTCATTAAACACACCGATGTTTCAATTACCCCTGAATATATCAAATGTGCTGAGGAAACTTATGAAAAAATATGAAAATAAAATGCATAGTATATCTATCAAACAAATTTTTAAAATTATAGATATTCACTTACTATCATTCCAAAAAAATTTTGCTTATTAGGAAATTTGTAAAACATTTTTTAACCCTTGATAACATTTTTTGGCTCGGGGGCTATACCAATAATTGATTCGCAGTTGATGAAACCAATGTCAGGTTCCTATATGGCAAATTGTATGAATTTGCCATACAGGAAATTTTTGAATAACCTTAATTTCATTTTCATCTCAATCAATACCTTCGATCACACAAAGATATCTGTAAGATGTTGTCAGCCTTTTACCGCCTTGAACTCTACTAATTCAACTGTCCCCTGCTGGAGTTCGTGGCGTTCTGCAGCCTCTAGTTCTTGTAGCTCTTCTTCTACCCGCTCATCCCATGAACTGTCATCACCCTCAGCTTAAGATACTTCAGTTTCACTAGCATCAGGTGACGACAATGACTCTTTACATTTTTTTGATGTTTTTCCAAGGTTTTCTATTAAGTAACATATTTTTTTTTAATGTTCTGTTCATTTTTGTATTCAATTGCTTGTAATATAAACAATTTGTCATATAATATTAGTGTCTATTGTTATATCTGTAATCCATTGTAAAATACCTGTTTCGGTATTTAAATACAGTCTATCTATCATATCTTCGGGGTAAAAAGAAGAACAGTTGTATTACAGTGGTATTACAGTGGTATTCAGATATATATATATATATATATATATATATATATATATATATATATATATATTACAAATTTCGCCCTATTGGTATAATATATTGTGTAAAAAATTCATTTGTTTCTTAATAATGACATTTATTATTCTAGATTTAGCCATACGCCTCACACTCCCTCTAAAGGGAAAATTCACTCATCCCAGATACCTACGGTATCAAAAGGATTGAGCTCTGGTGGGACTCTTTCCATGTTATGGAGTCCTAGGTGACTTGGTATGTCGGTGTATCTCCTAAAAATTTTCGCACGCATCTGGACGTCGAAAGTAGCACAGATTTCTGCATGACCTTATATAGATGTTCATTTAGACCCAGCTTGTTTATGTTTTCTAGGAGGTTCTTTGGAATGACTCCAGTGGTAGAAAGAATAATAGGTATCGGCTGGCTACTTTCCATTCTCCATTGTCTTCTTATTTGTATTTCCAGATCTCTGTACTTGGCGATCTTTTCGTTGTACTTAACACCCAGATTATTGTTGTTAGGTATCGCCACATCGATTAGAGTTGTTTGTCTTGTTAGTTTATTAACTAGCACGAGATCTGGTCTATTATGTGCTACAGTTTGGTCTGTGAGCACAGTGCGATCCCAGTATAGCTTGTAGTTGTCATTCTCAAGCATACTCTAATGAACGTATTGATAATATGGGAGATGGTTTGTTTGTAGGAGTCCCAGTTTAAAAGCCATCTCTTGATGGAGGATCTTCCCTACTGAGTCATGCCGTTCCTTATATTCAGTTGCAGCAAATGCCTGGCAGCCTCCGGTAAGATGCTGGATAGTTTCTTGGGCTTGACATCCATATCGGCATTTGTAGTTTTGGATCTGAGGGTCTTTGACGATATATTTCAGGTAATTTTTGGTTGGTATAACCTGATCGTGAATGGCAAGTAATGAACCTTCTGTTTCAGGGAACATCTTTCCTGATGTCAGCCAATAGTTCGACGCTATATTGTCGACATAGTCTTGACTGACTTCATTCGGATGTCGCCCGTGCAGAGGTTTACCCATCCAGATGCGCATTTTTCCGTTTTTAGTAAGATGGTTTATGCGCATTTCTTGTTCCCTCAGTTTGATCGGTATTGTGTCATCTACTGCGCAAATCGCAGGATGAAGAGTAGATGTCTCCGCCTGCACCTGAAAATAAATTCTTAAATTAGTAATTTGTTTATCTAATTGCTAGCTTATATCAATAAGTCCTCGTCCTCCTAAATACCGCGGTAATGTCTTTCTTTCTACTGCACTTCGAGGATGGTGTTTTTGTGCCTTTGTGGGGTGTGTTCGTACTTTTCTCTTAAGAGTTTCTGTATCCGTTTTAGTCCACCTAATAATCCCGAATGAGTAGCTAAGCGCGGAAAATGCGGAGGTGTTTAATGCCTTAAACAAATTTTTACTATTAAGGTGTGAGCGGAGTAGCTGTTTTAACCTTCGTATGAACTCTGATGTTAATTCGATTTTCATTTGTTTATGGTCAATTTTCCGCGCTTGCTTTAATCCTAGATATTTATACATATCATTTTCGCCCATAGCCTCGATGTTTTGGCCATTTTGCATATCGAATCCCCCGGGCTGAACCTTTCCCTTAACTATATTTAGTACACGACATTTGTCTAATCCAAAGTACATACTGATATCATTTGAAAAAGTTTCTACAGTTTTTAGCATTTGATCTAAGTGATTTCGAGTGGAAGCCATTAGTTTTAAATCATCCATATACAGTGTTGTTGTTTTTAATGCTAAAACCTGAGTCAGTGGAGTTCAATAGCTGGGATAGTGGGTTTATCGCTAGACAGAACCACAAGGGACTCAGCGAGTCTCCTTGGAATAGGCCTCGGTTAATTGCGATATTTTCCGTTTCGATATTGTTTTCACCAGGTATTTGGAGGTGAATTTTAGTCTTCCAATCTGTCATTATATGTCTTAAGAAGGCCACTATATTATCATCGACTTATTATTATTATAGGCCTTACAGTGACTTTTCTTAAATGTAATTAAATTGTCACATTTGTATTAATACTGCACGTGGTTCTTAAGCAATTATTTAATTGAACTAATATGTGACAAATTTGTAATTCTGAATTTCACAGATGAAAAGTTAAAAAACTTATATAGCAATAAACAAATATTTAATAATTTAATAAGTAATATTTTGGCTTATAAGACAGTAATATTTTCCATAAAATTTGATATTCAGTCCTTTTTGAAATATGTTTTTCATTATAATGTTTTTTTTTTGCAGTTTTGGCTTAAGCAATAGGTTTAGTACTGAGTTTCCTAGTGGCTTAGTGTCAAGAGTGGCACCTGAAGAATACAAGGAAACAGTTATGAGGATTAATGGTATTCTCAAAAAGACACTTCCTGTAAATGTAAAATGGTTATTTTGTGGCTGTCTTTGCTGTTGTTGCACACTTGGTTGTTCCCTGTGGCCTGTTATTTGTTTGAGTAAAAGGGTAAGTAAATCTTAATATGGATACATATTTCAAGAACCATTTTACCCTCACACAAAATTTTCATCTTTCCATCTGTCATTTCTCCATAATCTTTTACCAATCTAATTACCAAGTAGTTTTTTAATTCCAATCTAATTGATGAACCTACATTGCCTATTCATTGTTGAACTGTTATTTTATGGTAAAGGGGAATATAATAAATAACATTTAATGGATATGTTATTTTATAAAATTTAAATTTACAAATATGTATATTAAATGTTTCAAATATAATTATTAACAACATCGAGTAATATATTTTTTGTTGTATCTATCATGAGCTAAGTTTCATTGTCCCTTTAGTCAACACATAATTCATTTAAATATGTCCAAATATAATTACACGGATATTTATTTTGGTAATGGCTTTTGAATAAACAACATAATTAACAAAATAGTGGTCGCTTTAAATATAAATCTAATTTAGTTGCTGGTCAAAAATAACACATTAATAAAAATATTTCTTTTAAATGTTTAAAATTTTAAATTAATAATCATCTGATACAGCTGGCTACGATACTGTTCATAAACAATTATATTTGCTTAGCAGAAATAAAATATTAATTTTAAATTAATTTTTTTTGTGTAAGATATTTTAAATTATTAGATAATGATTTTTTATTAATATGATACTTTTATTAAAAACCAGCAGTTCAACTTTGATTCGACTAAGATGATTGAATATGTGCAAAAACACACAGATACACAAACACTACAATTAGTTTTTAAAAAGTGAAACTGGAACAAACCATGAAGTGGAGATATCCAGGAGTGGCTAGTATACCTGTTGAATACAAAGCACGTGGTGTTCGTGTGTATTAAGGTATAAAAAAAGCGCTTATTAAAAGCTTAAAATTTTTTATTATAAAGAAGATCTTTTCGGAATTGTATCATTCCATCATCAGTTTACTAAAAGAGAGAGTAAAAATACCAATATTAAAAACAAGAAAGTTAAAATTTGAATATACAAAAAGAACAAGTTTGTTTTTTACTACTTACATAAAAAGTTGTTGAAAAAACATTGTGTGGCCACATAAAAAACATTCGATGGACATCTGGATTTAAAAAATAATCTTCATGTTATTTATTCAGGTAAATGCAATAGACTCTTAAATTGTGTAATAATAAAAAATGAAACTGGGGGCATCTTATATGGAATTAGAATCAAACTTCTCCATCAATTTCTTGGACCTTTCCATCAATAGAATCAATAATGTCTTTGATTATAGCATCTACAGAAAACCCTCACAAACAGATCATGTCATACATTTCAATTCTAACCATCCCATTTCACATAAATTATCTGCATTCAACAGTTTTATTCATCGTTTAGAAACCATCCCATTATCCAAAATTAACTACAACTAAGAACTAAACATAATCAAACAGATTGCTTTCAACAATGGCTACAACCCTGATATCATCCATAAACTCATTTATAAAAAGAAACGTAAATTGCTTCAACAATCAGCTTACCCTAACATTACTTTAGATTCCCCATCTTATTTCTCATTACCATTTCACTATCCAACACTCTCTGAATCAATAAAAAACACCATCTTGAATTCTGTTGAAAATATTAAGATTTCCTTTAAAGTCAACAATAAATTGAGTAGATCATTATGCAATAGTCAGGACCCTATTGACTTCAGCAAACGCAGTGGAGTTTATAAACTTCGGTGTTCTGACTGTGATGCCACTTACATTGGTAGAACTTGTAGATCTCTAGTAACCAGGGCCATTGAACATTCTAAGTTAGAGAACACTTCTTCTTTTTCACATCATCTTAAATATCACAATCACACAATCAAGGTACCAGATGATATCTCTCTTCTTCATAACATCCTAGGTAGAGGTTATCTCAAACTTGACCTTTTTGAGGATTTGGAAATAGTCAAGGAAAAGAAAAATAGTCCCAATTGTGTTAATCGTCACACCAGCATCAACAGAGACTTCGTCCCACTTCATCGACAATTATTCTCCTAATCTAACTTTCTTTCTTTTAACTATACATCCAGTTTTACTTCACTTCTACATTTCTTTCTATTTCCCATAGCTAAATATCAACTTACATAATCATTCATACTTAACTCTATACTTGTCACCATTAATACACTAACATCACCCCTTTGCCAATATCCAACTACCCATCCTCTCCAATAACCACAATCTCACTTATCATACACATTTTCTTATAAATATTCATTTTACATCTATCAATCTCTTATCACAATCAGTTCCAATATTCCCAGCTTACATCGTTACATTCACCTTCTATTTCCTTTTCTTGCTTTCTCTTTTATTTCTTTTTTCTTTTTCTTTTCCTCGACTCATCTTCCATAAATTACAATCCAACTTTTATATATACTCATTTCATACAACGAAACAATTAGGTAATAACATTCTTTTTATCCCATTTAAAATGATTCATTAATTTTAACCACCTAAATTAAAAAAAATTTCCCTACCTTGGTATACCAATTTATTTTACATCGCAGTCACTCATTGATTTATATTCTCCCATCTGTTTTTAAAATACCAAAAATTGCTAATGATCCTACTACACACAAAACACATTTCTCCACTAAAAACTGACTACTCACAAACTTAAGCACAATGACTTTGCTCCTACCATATCATTCCACTTGACATTGACGGGTACTAACTGATTTTTCATACCATCTTTCTATCAGTTAGCCCTAGACTCCAACACAGATCAGAGGTAATGTAAGTCGATAAAACCTCACCAACTACAGGGGGTCATATAAGATGCCCCCAGTTTCATTTTTTATTATTACACAATTTAAGAGTCTATTGCATTTACCTGAATAAATAACATGAAGATTATTTTTTAAATCCAGATGTCCATCGAATGTTTTTTATGTGGCCACACAATGTTTTTTCAACAACTTTTTATGTAAGTAGTAAAAAACCAACTTGTTCTTTTTGTATATTCAAATTTTAACTTACTTGTTTTTAATATTGGGATTTTTACTCTCTCTTTTAGTAAACTGAAGATGGAATGATACAATTCCGAAAAGATCTTCGTTATAATAAAAAATTTTAAGCTTTTAATAAGCGCTTTTTTATACCTTAATACACACGAACACCACGTGATTTGACTACAATTAGTATACAATAGAAAACCCTATCGATCTCTGGGAAATGCTGGAATTGATAGAACTGCATTAATTATTTTAATATTTGATATGAAGAAAGCGTAAACTTCCTAGCAGCATGAAATACGTGACTGCTTATCCTGTCTTTTTTTCTTTTTATGTAAATATGACTCTGACTTCTTTTCAATGTGTGCCCAATAAGTTGTTGTTCCATCGTTTTCCTGGTCTTCCTACTGATCTTTTTCCTATTGGGGAACCTCTCACTGTCTTTACTACTCTATTTTTTGTCATTCAGCGTATATGGTCGTTCTATTCTGCTCTTCTCTGCTTTTCAGAGAAGGGTTTTCATCTCTGTTGTTTGTAACAACCTTTTTGTTCTTTATGTGTCAGGTCGTGATTGTGCCGCGTACCTATGCCATTATTGGTGTGATGACTATGCTGTAAATTCTGCCGTCAATTGCTTTCCCAATATTTTTATTTCTCCATATTGTCTCATTTAGGCATCCTGTGACTGTGTTTGCTCTATTCGCTTGATCTTCCACTTCTGTTTCGAGCTATCAATAGCTAGACAGTGTGATGCCCAGATATTTAAACTCCATGACTTGTTTTATTATCTGTCTCTCCAGCTCCAACATTTTAGTAGATTTGCTCTTATCTATGTATTTTTTTTTCATCAGTGTTTTTGATCATTGTGGTAGTGTCTGGGGGCTCGGGAGACTGAGACCTCGGAAGCCCTGAAGAAGACATCAAAGAGGATGTCGAAAGCTCGGCGCAATAATAATCGACGCGGTTCAATCCGGAAGACTGTTAAATTTAGTATTACTTCTTGTAATAGCATTACTCTTAGCTCTAGGTTTAATATATTAGTTGCTTTCAGCAAAATCTTAGTATTACGCTCATTAAATTAAATTAATTAATTAAATTCAGACGTGAAAAGTTTGGTTTGGCTTAATACTCTTTGGTTCTAGCAGTGGACTTGTCAATGGACAATATCTTATAACTTAATACTATATTTTGTGACTTATACTGTTTAGCTCCTACTAATCTATAGATACGTTGGACTAGATACTATTATTAATTAAGAAACTCATAATAGAACAATGCAAAGTTCGAACAGCATTATAATATCAATTCTAATTATATAATAAAAGACAAAAAGACACTAAAAATATTTATTTTTTAATATAAATGAGATCAGACCAAAATGTTACCAAACGAATAATTAGAACTAACTTTAAACAGAAAATTCATAATAAAGATCATTACATTTTTCAGTCGTCTTCCTTGAGGTTACCATGTGGAAGATTTTTAAAGTATACATGGACTCTTTTAAGCACCCATTGTAGTAAGTTCTGCAAATCGGTCTATTTTTATTTGAAATAGGTTTAAGTGTCTCTCTTATCGGTTTCTCATCATTATGTATCTTGAGAGAATTAGCAGTATTTGGTGAGATACAGCACATTTTCCCTACCTAACAACTAATTCGTTATTTTTTCTTTGGAATATGTTCGCAGGGTCATTTTTCATTATATGATATGTTGTATTGTCATTCAATAGAGAATCCATTTTACTGTCTCATAGTCATCTCCAGACTCCATAATAACAGTCCTGTTTGTTTTCCATCGAGTTAGAATTTTTCTCAGGTTTCATAACAACCACATAGGATTTGTAGATTTGTACATGTACAACTACATGTAGATTGGTGTTCTCATTTAAAAAGCTTTTGTTTTTTAAATTTCTTTATGCAATGTTTTATTTTCAAAGGGGTATTTGTTTTTGTTTTTAGAATTTGTTAAAATGTTACAAAATTTAGTTCTAATTTCATCCTGTACATTGGTACTT